CCCTGTTACAGTGGAGGCCGGGCCTTTATTTCCTTATCACTTTCTGGAAAACCTGATGTTTCCCAAGGGCACGCTAACATCTACTGTTAGAGTTGTTGGTGAGTTCTGTTCTGTTCTGTTAATTTCTCTGTTGCCCATTTTCTCCTCTTTTCCTAGTTCTTAGAGGGGGCCACTATAGAAGTGGATCAGATTCATACACACATGCGCCCTTTGCTGATGATGCTGGGAGATTACCGGAGCTTGACGCTGAATGTCGTGAATCGGCTAACCTCAGTCACAAGGCTTTTCCCAAATTCCTTCAACGATAAGTTTTGTGATCAGATGATGGTAAGCCAAATGCGTTCAAACATACCTCATAATGCACTGGAAATACAGAAAGATTTTTTTTTTTTTTTTAAATTAACAGTATACTCACATGGTTTAAAATGCAAAAGGTGGCTGGGTGTGGCGGCACATACCTTTAATCTCAGCACTCGGGAGGCAGAGGCAGGCAGGTCTCTGGGTTTTAGGCCAGACTGCTCTACATAGTACAGAGTTCCTGGCCAGTCAGGGCTATTAGTGAGAAAAACACAAATTGCAAAAGGGATATAAGATATATACTCAAAAAAGATTTCCTCCTTCCCCTCCCTTTCCTGCTCCTGTTCCTAGCCCCTCCTGGAAGGCGAGTGTGCTGGTAGTGCCTATTTTTGTTTCAACGACATTGGTGTGGTATACACACAGAGCACTCTCTGCTAGCACCATCATTCCGTGTGGTCTCGGAGTTTCTTCTTGGTGTCACTTCCCACAGATGCTTCTTATCATTCAACCCCCACAGTTGAACACATAGATGCTGTTCTAGATTATCAGCAGAAAACTTGTTCATGACTTCATGTGCCTGTTCACTATACATTTCTGGATGTAGAACTGGCTCAGAAGAAAAATACCTGTTTTTACATTTTCTTATTATGTGTGTGAGTGTAGTAGTGTCTGGGACGCAACAGGTATATGGAGGTCAGAGGACAATTTTTAGTAGTAGATTCTGTCCTACCTTTATGTGGGTTCCAGGGATCAAACTCAGATCAGGCTTGGCAGGAAGGGCCTTTACTTGCTGAGCCGTGACACTGGCCACCACAGTTTCTGCTTGAAGTTGGCTTGCTAACTTCCCCTAGGAGATCAGTGTCAAGTCTGGACCAAGCAGGATAATAAAGAAACCCTATGCTGGTCAAGGATCCCAAGCACTGCTCAACATGGAGAGCCCCGTTTCATAATGCAGAATGCAGTGGCTGCCCCAGGAGGCTAGTCGGCACAGCTGCTGATCAGACAGAATCAGAATTTATCTCGCCAGCCCTTTCTCCACGTCCTTTGTCCTCCTCGTTGCAGGGCCTTTGGTTCTCCTGTCCTTCTTGGAGTGCTCTCTACCTCCCTCCTTCTATTCCCTTCTTAGACATCCCTGTCTCTGCAGGGACCTCCTTGCTTCCAGCCCTCACTTGACACCTGCAGTAATTGTAAATTATTGTACAGAACACCCATCTTGTATTTTATATCATTTCCCCCTGGGCCGGAAGCTCTCAGGTCCAGGATGAGTTTTGTTGGTTTATCTCTCTCTTGCTTCCCAGCCTGGTACCCCGTTATCACAGGACCTAGAGAACAGGTATGATAGTGCAGATTGAAAGTGCAGGGCCCAGCATTGGGGTTCAGGGCACTATTGACAAGTTCAGCCTTTTGTCTATAGAACAGGAACCCATACCAGTTAAGGTCCCTAGTTTGTTTGGATAATTGCTATAAGAGAAGTGCTCTTGTTCTGTGCGATTCAAGGACACTAATGATTGTCAGTTTCCAATGAAGGGCAATATTTGTCATGAAGTTTTGTCTGAAAGTGTTTTGTTTCCTTCTTCCAACAGCAGCATCTGCGCAAGTGGATGGAAGTGGTGGTCATTACCCACAAAGGAGGCCAGAGGAGCGACGGAAACGTGAGTGACTGGCTTGCTTCTGGGAAGGGTACCCATGCTACCCACTGCCTTAATATTGAAGCAGTGCTTTACCCAGGCTCCCTGCCAGAAATCTGGTTTTCTGTGATTATAGTTCATATCTTTGCTTTTATTTCTCCTGATGGCTTAACATTCCTTTTTTAAATGTTTCTTTAAAAACCTCTTTTCTGCTCACTGTAATATGACATTTGCATTGATAGCATTTCAGAAGTGTGAAATATTAGTGTTCTAGCTTTTAGTTTTGTTTTAAACAGTGTATCTTCTAGACTGTTCCATACATGGTGGTGCGTTCCATTCCACAGCTTTTGTTTCCTTTGCTTTTGGTCACCCTGTGGTCAATAATCACTTTCCGTGTCTAATCACTGTTGCCTGATAAATCTAGGTAAAGCCCCCTAATCCCAATTGTTTGCTCCCAATTTTAAATGAGTTGCATAGACAGCAAATTCACAGTTTTTAGGCAAAACTGCTGTACCTAAGTTTTTTAAAGTATCTGATGTTGATCCTTCAAGCCCCCTTTAAAAATGCATGCATCCTGCTGTTTGGACTCTTAAAATTGCATATGCTAATTTTTTACAGTATTTTCCATAAGTCTGTGCCACCTGGTGGAACATTTGACCAGGGGCGTCCCCATTCTGCGATCCTTGAGAGTGCCACAGAGTCATGCTCACTCACCCTGGCTTTCTGTCCCCTGCCTACTTTTTGGATGCTGTATTTCATTCCAGTTTAAGTTTCCTTTCCTTTGGCTTTATTATGTCATTTGTTTGACCACTTTGTGTTCAAGGTGTTTGGTTTCTGTACCCCGTTTCTGCTGCTTTTAAACAGCCAGCTAAGCAGAAGTCAACCAGGACTACATGAAATCTTTTTCCTGGCTCACTGGAACGTTTCTTATCTGTATGTGAAAAAAGCCAATCAGGCTGAGGAGGGCAGAGCCCTGATGAAGACTAAGCCCTGGGAGCGACACAGTTGCTCTGCTTTTCCCACCATTTTTGTCTTCTAGGTGTTTTTACTTAAATTTTACATTGCTTTATTAAAAATTAGTTAAAACAATGTTAGTTGTCTGAAACATACAGTTCTACAATAAACATTGAAAAAAAAACTAGCAAACTAACAGAAAGCAACAACAACAAAAACAGGGCCAGTAAAATGACTCTGTGGGTAAATGTACTTAACTCCAAGCCAGCCTGACACCTGAGTTTAGTCCCTGGGACCTGCTTTGTGAAAGGAGAAAACTGACTTCTGACCTCCACTCTCTTGCCCTGACTTTTACACACACACACACACACACACACACACACGCCTTTAATCCCAGCAGCACTAGGGAGGCAGAGGCAGGCAGATTTCTGAGAGATTGAGGCCAGGCTGGTGTTATAGGAGAGACCCTGTCTCAAAATAAAAAGCAAATAATTAAGTAAATAATTAAATTAATAAATAAAATCCAGGAACCAGGGCTGGAGAGTACTTAAGAACACTGGCTGCTGTTGCAGAGGACCCAGGTTCTGTTCCTAGCATCCACATGGCAGCTAACAACCATTTATAGCTCCAATTCAGGGGATTTGACGCCCTCTCTGGCCTCTTCAGGCATTGCATACATGTGGCATACCTGCTTACCCACAGGCAAAACACTCATAAATAAATATAAAAGCATTTAAAAAATTAAAAAACCCAATTGTAAGTAAACAGCTTCAATTGACCTTTTGTGGGATGGTGCGAAAATGGATGTGTGGGTGCTGGGACTTTACGTCTGCTGGACATTACTGGCCAGGCTAGGGTTGTCAAGCATGTCCAAAACTCAGGCCACAGCATTTGGAGTTTCCTGGTAGAAGAAATGGTCATGGCTTCATCACTTTGCCCAGGGCCAGGCTACCACTCAGTTCTTGGGCTTTGCTTTTGTTTGTATGTATGATATTGTACAGGACAGGAAATGGGTCTTAGAAGTAGCTCCCGTTAGTTCCAAATGACATTCTTAGTTGAGGCCATATTTGAATATATACTATATAGTCGACTGAAAGATAAATTAAATCTTTTCTATAATTTGATTACCCCTGACGATCAGAGCTTTGCATCTGCCATGCTTGGGAGGCCTTCCCCCTTTGACACTGAATTCAGAGAGGACTACATGTGACCACCTATGCACACGTGTACAAAGCTATTTTTATGAAGACTGCTTGGCTATACAAGATAAGCCACCCCTGTGGGTACTGTAGTTTCCTTCCTATTTGCTGTGATAAAACACTCTTAAAGCAACTTGGGTGATGAAAAGGTTTGTCTCAGTTCGCAGGTCACAGTCCATCACTGAGGGAAGTCAGGGCAGGACCTCAAGCAGAAACTGAACTGGAAGCAGAAACCATGGAGGATGCTGCTTGCTGGTTTGCTCACAAACTCATGCTCAGATACCTACAGTAGGCTTCTTCCTGTATCAGTTAGTCAGTCCCCCCCTAGGGGCGGGATAGATGGCTCAGGGGTTAAAAGCACATACTGTTCTTGCAGAGAACCCAAGTTCCTTTCCCAGCACCCATGTTGGGTGGCTCACAACTGCATTGATGCAAGGGATCTGATGCTCTCTTCTGGCCCCCTTGGGCATTTGCACTTATAGATGCACATATATACAGACTCACACATAGATACCTAATTAAAAAAATAAATAAAGTCAGCCCTCTCACAGGCCAATCTGATCTAGGAAATCCCTCAATTGAGACTCTTCTCACATGATTCTAGGTTGTGTGGAATTGAGAGTTAAAGCTAACTAGAATTGGGGCGGGGGCTGCTTTTTCTCATGGCCCAGTGTTCTTCATGAGGCTTAGATATGCCTAATGAATGGGGTGGCACTACCTGGTTCTCTTCTGACTAGCTGGAAAAGAAGTTTGTCCTTTTTTTAAAAAAAAAATGTTTCAGCTCTTCATATAAAATCTTGAGTTACTCACTTTGACAAAGAAGAAACACATGTCTAACATGTGTTCACTTACAAAAAGGTCTTACTGTTTCTCTCCTTGCACAACAATTTTGAAACCCTGGTTTAACATTTGTCTTGGGGAGGAAGCCCAATCTGTTAGATACTGTCTGAGGGCCATGTTGACATCTGAGGTGAAAGGCGAGCTTTCTGCTGCCAAGCATCTGATAATGACTCTGTGCTTTCTGATAACTGTGTCTGTACTTTCTTGTTAACCCCAATAACCCTTACTGTGTTTGAGTATGTGGGAAGCTCCCCTGTCAATGACATCAATAGAAAAAGCTGATTTTCCTCCCCCTCCTCAGGAGAGCCTGTCGGAGTGCGGGAGGTGCTCCCTGTCTCCGTTCTGTCAGTTTGAGGTGAGAACAACCTTATCAACAGCCAGTTTTTTGACTTGCAATGTGAAGATTATTTTTCCCTTTCTTTTTCCTTCTTTTCTTTTCTCTTTACCTTTTCGTTGCCTTTTTTTTCATGCTGTGATTTTTGTTTTGGTTCAGCCTGCCATGGAAGGGGTAGAGGTGAGAACCGCGGTGGAGCTGCCAGGGGGTCGTTGTCGCATTCGGTTTTGCTGTGACTTCGTTAGCTGTGTTGTGATCCTGTAGTGGACACGAGTGCCTTGTGCCTTTGAGTGCAGTGACTTGTACTGTCTGTCTGTGGCGGAGTTGTCGTAGTATCATTGCTGTGAACTGTCTGGTTGCCTCGCATGTTCTCCACCAGGGTGTTTGAAGCCAGATCCCAAGCTCCTGTGTTTTTCTGTGTCCGCTATAACCAAATTAGATTCTCTATCTTAACATTCAGAACAAACTCAATCCTCTAAGAGCCTCCTGAGACAGTCCACAAAGAATATATTCATGTCTGTTGCAAATTGAGAGAGATCATATCTTCTTTCAAACTGCCAACTTACCGAGTACCTCAAATTTAGAGCCTCTTGGCCGCCATGTGCCTTCCTTTCTCATGCGTGCGCACACACATACGCTCAACTCTAGTTATTGTACTATGTCTTTGGACAGCCGAACTGAGCTCTCCCTCTTCTGTAAAATGGGGATAGTAACACCTGTCGAGTCTCCCTTCCAGCAGTCTTGTAAAAAACAAAAGAATTTTCAACAATTTTGCTTTTGAAAACAAAAACCATGGCCTAAAAGACCATTTTAGAATAGAATAATCTCAGGACAGAACTTACTCTCTTAAAAGACTTGCAGATATGTAGTGGGATGGGGTGATAAAGTTTCCTCATTTCTAGCCTGCCTCCCACTTCAGTGTTTCTTTTTAAAGAGAAAGTTTGAACAGCATCTCAAATGCTGCTGGGAAGGGGTCCCTTCTGCCCAGTGTCCACCATCCCCATTTTACCTTGTGGAGAGCCATAGGTACCACCTTGCATCCAATGCAGAGGGGTGCTTCTGGGCTCTTCTCTTCCCAGTGGGCAGAGAAAGGTCCTTTGAATTGCAGAAGAAAAACTCTGACCTGAAAACAGGCTGTTGACCTCAGAGCAGCCCAGCACACTGGACAGTGTGGAGCCCAGCAGTTCACACACTTCTCACATGATTCAACATGGCCCCTTGTTAGGTTTGTCTTGAGGCCTAGTTGACAAATACTCTATCATTCATTTATCTTCATACTTAGTTTCCAAGACAAACACTTTTCTGAGGAACTTCCTTGGCTAGGTTTTGAGGGCAAAAGAGTTCTGTGCCCTCAGAACTTCGTGAATTAAGAAGCTTCCATGATGCCATGGAAGGGTAGGGCAGGCCCAGCACTCTATCGCAGGTGTGATTATCCCTGCCTCCATGAGGTGGACTAGTGTAGGTGACCTGTCAGTGTGTCTGAAAACAAAAGGCATAAACACACCAGGCACATACTTAGTCCTACCCCAATAACAAGTGAACTGAAGGCCAGGGGCAGCCAGATTCCTCAGGACAGAACACAGTTGTAATCTAAGTTCGGTAAGTTGTGGCTTTTCATGTTGACTTTTTGCTTTTGGCCAGCCTTGTGAACGTAGCTAGAGTGTAATAGGGTCTGTAGTAATGTCTTGTCTCTCCCTAGCTCACAGAACTAACTGACCTGTTTATGATTTCTGCTTTTCTTTATTAGGAAATGAAGATTTGTTCGGCAATTATAAACCTTTTCCACTTGATCCCAGCTGCACCTCAGACTCTCGTCAAACCTTTGTTGGAGGTTGTCATGAAAACAGAGCGGGCCATGCTGATTGAGGTGTGGGCTGGACTGAGGAGTAACTCTGATCTTGCATCTGTTGCTTGTGATATTTTTGTTTTTATTTATTTTCAGAATTTGTTCATTGATGATTTCATACATACACAATGCAGTCTGCTCATACTCACACATCCCCCCTCCAATTTTTCATGTCTTTTTGTTTTGTGACCTACTGAGTTTAACTGGGGCTGATCAACTGACCCCCTGGATATGGAAATCCACTGGAGCATGGTGGGCTCACCAGTGGGTTACATCTGAAGATGGTGACTCCCTCCCTATAATCCAGTCATTCATCAGGGAGGGGTATGGCTCCATCAGCCCCTTCCTCATTTCATTCCTCTAGCTGTTGACAGAGCCAGTCTTCTGCAGGCCCAGTTTAGGCAGCATGTGCTGCTATGGGATCTTGGTATGATGGCTGTGTCATTTTGTATCCCCACTCCCTATTTCCTGGCTCTTGATATTCTTTCCACCTCCCTCTTCCACAGTATTCCCTGAGCCTTAGAGGAGGTGATATAAGTGTCCTGTTTCCAGCTGATCACTCAATTCTCTCTTGTTCTTAGCACCTCACTGCTGTTCATTGTAAAGAGCAGTTTCTCTGATGAAGGCTAAGAAGTAGCGTTTATCTGGCAATGTGGTTGGCACAGTCTTTTTTTTTTTTTTTTTTTTTTTTTTTTTTTTTTAAAAAAAAAAAAAAAAAAAAAAAAGAGGACGATAAATCTTTCACTGTGATATATCAAAATAA